TCTCTCTCTCTCTCTCTCTCTCTCTCTCTCTCTCTCTCTCTCTCTCTCTCTCTCTCTCTCTCTCTCTCTCTCTCTCTCTTCTCTCTCTCTCTCTCTCTCTCGCTCACGCTCCCTCACTCCCTCACTCACTCAGAGGCCTTCCTGGTCCACGAGTTGCTACTGCACTCTGGCGGCTCCATATTTGTGTATGATTGAAGTTTTTTTGCGGTTTTTAGTATGGTCAACATTGTTTGTGATTTTCCTTTACCTGTCAGTATAGTTCGTCGGTGACAATAGTAATAATATTAGAATTACGAAGCATTAGGAATACCATTAATATAGAGTAATTAGTTATCATTACTCGTCAGTATCATTAACATTAATGATGATGATAATGATAATAATGATAATACTGATAATGATAATAATAATGATAATAATAATATTGATAATGTTAATAATAATATTAATTAATAATAATGATAATATGATAATAATAATATTAATTAATAATAGTAATAAAAATATTATTATTATAGTTATTATTATTGTTTTTATTATTGTATATTATTATTGTTATATTATTTATATTGTATTTATTATTATTATTATTATTATTATTATTATTATTATTATTATATTATTATCATTATTATCATTATTCATTATTATTGTTATTGTTGTTGTTCTTATTATTACGATAAAGGTTTATGGTTATTATAATTATGATAAGAGTAATACTGTGAATAACAATTATAGTAATGACTAGGATAATTATGACTTTAATGATAGTATTAATAATGATGGAAATAATAATAATACTTGTAATGACAACGATAATGGTTATAATGATAATGATGCTAATGAGAGTGATAATGATAAGAGGAGGAATTAAAATTACGAATATGGCGAGACGAGAGACGAGAGCCCCACATCCTGTCAGGCCGTCTCTCCGATCGACCGCCCGCAGATCCGATCGGAGCGACGCGCCTCAGAGGAGTTACAGAAGTGCGGTTGAAAACATTTCAGTCGCCGGTTACTAGGGACGCCGTTGCTAAGGACGCCGCCATGAGCCGTCGCCATGGACTGTGGGTTTCGCACGTGACGTGACGCTTGGGGACGGGGGTGGGGAGAGGGAGAGGGGGAGGGGAGGGGGGCGTTGAACGGGCAGGTGGGCGAGGGAGAGGGGGCGATAGATAGATTGATTTGGGTTGATTTTAATTTCCCTTCTGATCACCTGGGATGGGTCGTCGGGCCCGTGGGACCCCGATTGCGTGAGGATTGGTTCAGGGATTTGGGATGGGGGATTTTTTTGGGGGGGGGGGGTATGTTGCTCTAGGAGAAGGAGAGGGAGAGAGGCAAAGCAGGAGAGTGAGAGAAAAGGAGAAAAGGCGGAAGAGGGACAGACAGACGGAGAGAGACAGAAAAGGAGAATGAAATGAGGTGTGATTACGAAAACGAAGTTATTTTTGTCTTTCCCATCCGATTCTTGCGTCAGTTCCGAGGGCCGCATGTCAGTCAAGGCCAGGCAGGCATTCGACATTTCCTTTGTTGAAATTTCGTGTTTTCGGAAATTTTACCGAGCTTGAATCTTTTTTTAAATAATTTTTGTCTTTTTTGGGGGGTTCGAGTTTTTTTATTTACTGGTATTTGGAATAAGCTTATGGGCGTTGATTCTCGCGTTTTTTAAAGTTGGCAGTGTTTAGTGACGAGGCAGGGAAGGTCGCTGAGGACGCTCTCTCTCTCTCTCTCTCTCTCTCTCTCTCTCTCTCTCTCTCTCTCTCTCTCTCTCTCTCTCTCTCTCTCTCTCTCTCTCTCTCTCTCTCTCTCTCTCTCTCTCTCTCTCCTCTCCCCCTCCCCCTCTCCCTCCCCTCTCCCCTCTCTCCCTTTCCCCTTTCCCCTCCCTTTCCCCTTCCCTTTCTCCCTTCTTTCCCTTTCTCCTCTTCCCTCACTCCCTCTCCCTCTCTGCCCCCTTGCTCGCAGCGTCTCAGAGTTAGGAAAGTGTGAAGACTCGATCCTTGCATCGGTCGCTGCCAAGGAAAGGGGCTTTGTGGTTTCCACGACTACTTTCATTCTTGTTATTGCAGATGCTTCCGTTATTTTTTTTTTTTGTTACTGCTGCTGTAGTATATCTATCCATCTATCTATCTATATATGCGTTTGTGTGTTCGTATATGTTTCAGTTTTTCACTTAGTTCTTCTGTCTACCTACCGATCTGCCAGTCGATATAAATATTGATTATCATGTCATTATTTTTTTAGCCAGTGTTATAAAATAGTTCATGCACGGATATCTGCATTTTTTTTTTTTCTCATATTTATCCTCGATGAAAAAAGGTGATGTGTGTTCCCACAGTACGTTATCCACGACATTTAAAGAGAAAGCGTGCAAAAAAGTCCCCCTCAGGTTATGGCAAGTGTTCCCCCTCCCCGCCCCCCTCTAACCCCCGGGCCGCACGCGCCAGGGGGGGAAGTGGAGCGGGAGGGACCAGAGCCGCGGGGCTGCCGCCGCTCGCCTCGGCCGCGCGCGGGGCTCAGGGAATATGTTTAGGTATATTGCACGTATACACCGCGCGTGCACGCACGCACACGCGCACACACACGCGCACACGCGCACACACACGCACACACGCGCACACGCGCACACACACACACACACACACACACACACACACACACACACACACACACACACACACACACACACACACACACACACACACACACACACACACACACACGCACACACACACACACACACACACACACACACGCACACACACACACACACATATATATATATATATATATATATATATATATTATATATACATACATATGATATATGTATATATATCCATATATATGTATATATACATATACATGTATGTATATATATATATATATATATATATATATATATATATATAATATATGTGTGTGTGTGTGTGTGTGTGTGTGTGTGTGTGTGTGTGTGTGTGTGTGGTGCGTGCGTGTGTGTGTGTGTGTGTGTGTGTGTGTGTGTGTGTGCGTGCGTGCGTGCGTGCGTGCGTGCGTGTGTGTGTGTGTGTGTGTATGTATGTATGTATGTATGTATATATATATATATGCATAAATATGTATATATATGTTTATATATATATGTATATATATATGTTTGCGTGCGTGTGTGTGACCTTGTTCAGACGAGCGACTTTAATGGCGCGACTGCTATGTCAATGGAAGTGAATAGGAGCGCACACACGTTGTGACTTTGGCTGGCCTGTGGCGCGACTAAGAGATTTTCCTCAAAGTCGCACGACTGCTCAGCCACTCGAGGAACATGAGAGCCATGTGGCCGCACACACACGGCGACAGCCACTGCATTTTCATGGTGATGGCGTGCCTCATTGGCCGGAGGGGGTGGGATTCACGTGGTGGGAGGCAGACAGACGGGCGACAGTAGCTTCCGCTCCCCCCAGCCTGTCATCCTGATTTGATGGACATTCTCATGTAATTAAAGAAATTGGGTTCTTGTTCTCGTAACTTTGGATACATTGTGAAGAACATTCCATGGGTAAGTCAGTAATTTAATCTAGTTTGTGCATTGTGGGTTTTTCTACCATAGTATCAACACGGTATTGTGTTTTTCTATTCATATATATATATATATATAGCCCCCCCCCACACACACACATACACACACATACACATACACATACACATACACATACACATACACATACACATACACATACACATACATACACATAACACACATACACACACACACACACACACACACACACACACACACACACACACACACACACACACACACACACACATATATATATATATATATATATATATATATATATATATATATATATATATAACCGCAGATCCTGTTACGCTCTACTCCTTTCCCTCCCTCCCTCTTCCATCAGCGATCGGTCACGCGGGACAATAAACACCCTGTTATTGGCTAATCAGTTCGCGATTTGGGAACGCTGCGAGGGAGAGGCGGGAGGGGTTGATGAAGGGGGTGGGAAGGAGGGAAGGAGAGGACGATAAATGAGGAGAGAGGGAGGGAGAGAACGAGATATGAGGAGGGAGAAAGGGAGGAAGAGGACGAGTAATGAGGAGGGAGGAAAGGAGAACAGGGAGGAGGCGAAGGCTGTGAAGCTGATGAGGGGGGGAGAGGGAGAGGGCAAGTGATGAGGAATGGGGAACGAGTGATTAAAACATCGGTTTTCACGTGCCGGAAATGACGCCTGGTCACGTGGGCTGAACCGCCAGTTCCCACGCTGTGTCGCAGGTTAGCTGTCGGTGCCTGTGCCTCTGCCTGATCGAAGAGCCACTCTCGCGTCCTTTCTCCCTCCTCTCCACTCGTTGAGAATCTTTCTCTCGATATTTTTTTTTCTTTTTTTCTTTGTTTCGCTCCAGCCCAATCCCTCCGAGCTGTTCTAGGAACTTACTTATTTTATGTTATTAATCCCCTCTGCTGTTCAAAACTTATAATAAGCATTCTGCTTCGATCTCAGCCATGCCCTTCTTGCTGTGACCGCGACCCCGGTGGTAAAACTTTAGAGTTTTTAGGGTTCTTAGAGCAAAAATGAGGAAAATTAACGCTATTCAGTTTTCTTTTGATAAGAGCAAAACTGAATGTGAAGGGAAAATTTCTTTCTGAATTAATAATTTGTCACACACTACAATCTAACAGAAAATATTTAGAGCTTGGTTACCCTAGGAAAACGGCTTAGCGACCTTCTGTGGGGTCGCTTCCTCAGGGTTGAGAGGTCAAGATGTTTTATTATAATTCTATTGTGTCCACTTCCATTTTTACTATTCTATACCATTCTATTTATTCTAACTTCTCTCTCCCTTCCAGCTATTAAAAAATATCATAACGATTTTATTCCTTCCATATTCTCTCTCCTCAGCCGTCCAAAAATACGAGAATTACTCACAGCCTTCAACCATCTTTCACCCCCTGTATAGACAACCATCCTATTTCCATTTTGTTCTCTCCTTCCCAGCTCTTCGACCGAGAAACCTGCACGTACACGTACCTCCTCGCGGACACCCAGACGAAGGAGGCTGTGCTCATCGACCCCGTGATTGACTTGGCCGAGCGCGATGCCAAGCTGGTGGGCGAACTGGGACTCGAGCTCAAATACGTCAGTGAGTACTGGAACGGGGCAGGGCGTTCTTGGGGGAGAGGGGGAAGGGATATGGAACAAGGAGAGAGTTGGAGAAGGAAGGGTTGCCGTTTGGAGAGGGAAGGGGAGGGGCAAAGGGAGGGATTGGGTTAGGAAGTTAGGAAGTTAGGAAGTGAGTGGGTGGAGGGAGGAAGTTTCAATGTGAGGTATGGGGAAAGTAGAATGAGAGCGAGCGAAAGAGAGTCCTTGCATTTCAAAGGGAAAACATAATTAGAAAGTAATTAACATCCTTTTTTCAGTGAATACCCATGTTCATGCTGACCACATCACTGGAACAGGCCTCCTGAAGAAGCTTGTGCCTGGCTGTCAGTCAGTCATAGCAGAGGTAATGTATATTGCTGGTGGAGTAAAGAAAGTAGCAAAAAATACTTGTAACTTTGCAAAAGATGGGAAAGGACATTTTCTCAAAACGAGGTAATGAATTACCTCACCAATTTCTTTCTTTCTAATCCATGAAAAATACTTTGTCAATTACATGTTAGAAAAAAATATATATATATCATTATTTATTACACAACAGGTCTCAGGAGCAGTAGCTGATGTGCTCATCAAACACGGAGAGACTGTGAAGTTTGGTGAGCATGAACTTGAGGTCAGAAGCACTCCAGGTCACACAAATGGTACGGATTAATCATCCTCTTTTAACTGGGTCTGCAGATTCTTTTCTTACTACCTTGTATTGATTTCTGGTGTTGCATTTATAAGCCGTTAATGTTTGGTTCATAAAATATACAAAAGTGAGTGAATAAATATATATTTTCTTTCAACATTCAAAATAAAGAAATGGGTTTAACCACATATTGAACATTTATTTAGATTTTTAATTAGCTTCCAGTAATGAGTAAAACCCTCATTATCTAATTTCATCCAACCAGGCTGTGTGACTTATGTTAGCCACAATCTGAAGTCTGTCTTTACTGGCGATGCTCTCCTAATCCGTGGGTGTGGGAGGACTGACTTCCAAGAGGGCAGTGCAGAAACGCTTTATGAATCTGTGCATAGCCAGATTCTCAGCCTTCCTGAAGATTATGTTGTATATCCAGCTCATGATTATAAGGGTGAGGAAAATTAGTTTAATAATGTAATTCAACAGTGAAAAATTTGCATTGCTCAACTTTTGTCTAATAATAGCATGTTGTTCTCTTTGTGATTGTGTAGTTTTTATAACCATTTTCAGTAAATTTAAGGAAAGATGGGTTTTTCATCCTACAGGCAATACTTCATCATCTGTCGGCGAGGAGAAGCAATTCAACCCTCGACTTACCAAGCCGAAGGATGAATTCATTGAGATCATGAACAACCTTGGTCTGCCGTATCCCAAGAAGATTGGTAAATAGTTCAGCTTATTTATTTGATTTCATTTTTATGTTTTTATCAAATTTATTTATTTATATTTTTTTAGATTTTCTGTGTTCTGGTTACAACAAAGTTCTATGATGTACCTGTTTGTATGTATTAGGATCAGTAAAATCTAACATTTCATATATCTAAACAACTTTCAATTCATATATTCTTATACTATTATCAATATTTTCATTTTGATATTCTTTCTCTTGTGTGTTTTTTTTATTTATTTTATTTTATTATTATAATTTTTTGTCTTGCGATAGTAATATTTCTTTCTCATTGGTGGAGCATGTGATACTAGATGTAGATGTGTCTAGTCACACATTTTTTAAATCTGAATATTAGGGCAGTTGGTGATGGTGATGACGGAGAAAGTAAGAGATGGAAGGTTACTGAATTTCTAGAAATATAAATTTCAAACTTGGAAGTTAAAGAGGAAAATAAATGTTTTAGCAAAAATATTCAGAATGTTCAGGTATCAGCAGCAAAAGTAATTGTACTCTTTTGTACTTGATTACATAACAAGGAAAAAAAGGAATAAACAGTTCATAATCAATGTTTGAAAGAGATAGCATAATGTGGACGAGTATTAATTGTGAAGTTTGGAACTAATATTTTTTTTTCCTTTCTTCTCCAGATATTTCCCTGCCACCAAACAAGGTCTGTGGCCTTTACAACTTGCCAGATGAACTTGCTGCAAAGTTGGAGGATTAGAAAAGTGGTCAGGAAATGCCCCTGAAGGAGAAAAGAAATTTGAATATATTGTATTTGTGATTTTTTTTTTCTGTGGTTAGAGTCTGTTATAAAAATAAAAGCATAAAGGTGTTGGTAAAGATATATTTACTAATATTAGCTAAAATATATGATATGTATGGGGTGCCTAAAGTCTGTGATAATATGGAATGGATAAAGGATTTGTAGGATGGATATCTTGGGAAGTATTAACCAGAGAAATTTACAAGGTCATGAAAGCATGGAATCACACTAAAAAACAAATGAGTTTAAGTAGCAACATCAGCTGTTATTTCCCAGGCTATCTTTTTCTGTGATTTCTTTTCTAAAATCTTGTCTGTGTGATTTGAAAACAGAAATTATAATCATTTTTTTTTTGTAAGGTAGATAATAACTTTCTTTAGATAATTGGAAAATATGCAGAGAAGATAGTGATAACATTTCTACAAAGCAAGCTGCAATAATGTTCATGATCTGAGTGCAACATATCTTTACCAAAGTCATTTTGTTAGTTTTTATCCTTGTATCCTGTAATAGCAGTCATAAATTCACCTCAGATAGCATTAATCCTACACAGGCTTGAAACAAATACGTGTTATGCTGTGTTCGGAACTCCTCGTCTTGCTTGTCCAGGACCAGCAGGACAAGTGGACCGCATTCGGAACCTCCAAGACCCTTTCTGCCCGGAATGCAACTGGCTCGAATGTAAACATTCACTTTTTTTATCATTCCGGTGTCTTTATTTTACATGCTGCATTGGTTTTGTAACTCCTTTGATGCATATTTAACTTAGCTGCAACTGACAAACACAAAAATATCCTTTGATAACACCCATAAAGGGTCATAAAATTACCCACCAATATCTTGTGGTTACCTGAAATTGTCATTGTTTACATACATTTTGACGTCATCTGGTCCTGCTCGTCCAGGTTTGCAGGAGGCTGAGATGGACAAGATGGATGAGATGGACAACTTGTCCAGGACGAGATAGTAGAGGTTCCAAACGGTTAAAACATCTCATCCAACTGGTCTGAACGAGCAGGACGAGCAGTTCTGAACACAGCCTTATTGCATTTAAATGACAATCTAGCATTACCCAAATGTTTTTAGATATGAAGGAAAACTGTGGTTACCTTTTTTATTTTAGAAAATGAAATATAACAGTACAGTTTTTACACAAGAGCAATTTAGTCTACAAGTAGTGATGTTATTATAATGCACTTTTGGTTATGGAAATAAATGGAATATTTTTATCCTTGCCATTGCATCTTATTAACCAGTAGAATTATGAAGTACAGGGTATATGTATAATTGTCCAAGTTATTTACTGATAATTTAAATAAACTGAACTAGTACATGAAGGTTAAAACATTCTTGGAATGGTAAGTTTGTTCCACCTCTTGAGTAGCTTATTTTATTATTCATTATCATTTTTAATAATGTAGATAGTGGTATGTACAATGAAGAAGTATGTTTGAGAGCATTCTGGCCTATGGGATATGAAACAAGCCAAGCTGTGGGTAAGTGAGGTTGTGCGGTGACATATTCAGATATTTTATATTCAACATTGTAAAGAAATAACCGAGAAGTATTTTTTTTTAATTAAAAGATAATAGAAACAAAAGAGGTATAATATGTTTATGCACAGCTGACTTGATAATCTCCTGTATTTTGAAATGATCATGATCATTTGGCCCAATTTGTCTTCAGGCAAATATGTCAGATTTTCTTTAAAAAACTCTGAACACTGTTTTCTTTTCTCAGTTAACATCCATCAGAAATTCAAGGTATACAGGATAAAGTTGTATTTCTATTTCATATAAAGAATAAGGAATGTGAGTGATACACAGTATTTTATTTTATGACAATAATTTCATCACATATACATGATTCAAGACACATGTATAAAGCATTCACACTATCTTGCAAAATGGTTCCCCATTACAGCATTCACAAAATGTCAGTTTGACTATCACAGAACATTTTACCATTTCCAAATAGTATCATTTCACTACTAAACAATTAAGTTATTTCTGAAAAAATCTTTATACATAAATATCAACATGAAATGCCTGGTGCCCTGAAAATGCGACCAACTCACAACAATAACACTGAAGTGCATTGCATCTATAAACTTTGCTCCTTACTGATTTTTTGCCATCTTATGTTAAATACAGCTGTTCTACATTTTCAAAGATATGTAAGATTAGTGTAAAAAAAAAAAGTGTATAATTATTGTTAAGAAATTACTACTAATAAATGAAACAAGGTTGCCTTGCACCATATTTAAATAATTAAAAACTATTTTTTCCCTTGCCAAGTACATAATTTACAAGGTTCCACTCAAGATGAATTCTAGCATTTGTTGAAAGTGTTACATGGAAGACATTTGTGAAAAAAGCAAAATAAATAAATTGGCAATGCATATGAGTAACTAAAATGTATAACAGCTTCTTTTCCCTGCATAAGTTAAGCTTAACCACAAAGTGTAATCAAAAGCGAGGTCTAAGACTTCGACACATCATGGACTGTAGACTGACTTGTGGAAACTGATGGAACTGTTTGAGTTGTACCTCGTATTGATGCTGGAGACACTATTCTTGCTAGCACAGGCTTTCCTGTTGGAGAGGGAGAGAGAAAAAAATCCAGTATGAAATAATGTTACGCTGAAGACCATGAGCCAAGATAGCTCACAAAAGATCATTGTAATATTTAAGAACCTTGATCTCTGTTTGCTAACCAATGATCATATTTATGAACAAGATATTGATAAAAAGAAAAAAAGAAAAAAAATACCTCTTTGCTGCTGAGTAACTTGTGATGCTGGAATAACTTTTAAAGTCTGGAACGCTTGCAAACCCTTCAGATTTAGGTGTGATCCCTGTAAGGCAGATGCAGGAAGAACAATCTGCTGCCCTCCTGTTCCACTTGCTACAACAACTGCACCCTGACTGCTTGTCACCTGAGCAGTCTGTGCTCCCGCTTTGACATTTCCTCCAGTCAGCATTACCTGGAAAAAGGAACAACAAAATAATTGTACACTTTATAATGGAATTTAATTCTACAATTTGAACATGTAGCAAATAAGATAAATGTGCCTGATACACATAGAGAAAATCAATTTATGTCATCCTGGTATACATCTGGACTTTTTCAATGAAAACTATGAGTCACATTTATGCTACAATATAAATAACATATTCCCCCAAACTGTGAGAGTAATATTTTCTGGATTATTACTGCTTGAGCTTTTTAGCAGCTGTTTTCATTGTGCATTCTACTGACCCTTTCAGAAGTTAGATTTTCTCTTTCATAGCTTGTATTTCTGATAATTTCCATATTCACATGAATATTTCTGAAGCCAAATACAAATATTACCTATCATTGGCAAATCATATTGTATAAACATGATGTAGGTAAATTATCCTTTTTGTTTATTAGAACTAATATCAAATATGTGCCATTTACTTTTCTGAGAAAGTTGAAAAGACAAATATGTACAAAACATCTATCCTTAACCAAAATTTTAAGACAAGACACAATTGTAAAGTACCTGCTGCAGCTGTCCTTGTTGAGCAAAAGGTTTGGATGTGAGCAGCACTTGCTTGCCACCTATTGTAATGAGGTTCCCAGTTGCTGTGGATCCACCGGCTACAACGGAGGCTGTTCCAGCTGTGCCACTGGCGCCAGGTTGAACTAAGCGGATTCCACCACTGGCAAGGACTGATGGTTTACCGGCCACATTCAGACCCTGTAAAATTATTTGTCAGTTTGCTTTCTGTCAAGATTCAATTTTTTTTTTTCCTTAATAAATTGTGGGGCCTATTATTAATCATTGTGAGCAATTTTCTTTGGTGGCTTAGCTGTGATTGACCTAAACACTGTTTCAACTAAGCATTTGTCATTAATTGATAGCTCTTGTAAAAAAAAAAAAAAATCTGAAAAACAGAAGCATTATGTATAATAATAAGAAAACTGTGCCACCATTACATGAATACTTCCATTATCCCTTCCTGGGTTGAGTCATACCTGAACAATAGTTTTCTGCTGCTGACCAACGGAGAAGAATCGAGGTTGGGTGTTAGAGCCTCCCATGCGCGTGGAGGTTATGGGTGCAGTGATGACTTGCGTGGTGTTGCTGGTGCTGGTGGGTGTGGTGGGTGTGGTTGTGGTGGTGCTTGTAGTTGTGACAGCCCCAAAGCTGCTTTGCACCACATGAGTGCCAGGCTGTAAGGTCTGGATGGTCTGGACCACCTGAGCCTTATTGCCAGACCCATCCATCTTCCCTGCCTGGGGAGAGCAAACACAGCTGTGAGTGGGAGGTGCTTGGAGACCATGAATGACGGGAAATGTCAAAGGGAATCCATACTGAACACTACCTGATTCAGATCATCCCATGCAAGATTATTTTAGATTAGTAGTGCCATTGCAACTCCAAGTCTAAAAAAGATATCTACTGAAAAAAAGATTTAAAAGTAACCACTATCAGTGCAAAATACGTATGAGAAATGAAATGACAAATGCGGGATGAAAGCACATAAAATGTACAGTAAATTTGTCCCTATATAACTTTTTTCAGTGATGATTATAAATAAATAAATAAACCAAATAAATAAATCATTTTAAAATAACTGTACCCTATACCCCATTTCCCATACAGTTCATATCTCTAGGGTCATCTCCCTATTCTGCCCCCTCCTGTGCCATACAAACACATCAGACCTGTGAACTAGTAGCCAAAACAAGTCTCTGGTTGGCTGCATTGAGAGGAAGGTGTGACCCCTGTGGAGACACTAAGGTCAGCCTCTGGACACCACCTGCACCTCCTGCCAGCTGGATAACATTTCCTCCGGCTAGCTTGTTTCCTGCTACCGTTGTCACAACCCCACCTGTTGACAAATAGAAAATTTACCATCAGCCATGGATTCTTGAGTGTTGGAATACTTTCAAAAGCTTTCTAACTGTGAAAACATGTATACATTTATATGCATATGTGGCTGTACGCTTTCCTCACCTTGGAGCTGTGTTGTCTTGTCACCCTGGCTGAGAAGGTTCTCTACGGTGACCACCTGCTGTCCAGGAAGAATACCTGAGATAAACTGCTTCCCTCCCATGTTGCCTCCCATCCCTACGCTACCCGGCATGGCCTGTACCACCTGCAGGTACCAAACTTTGATTGTTAGGCCTACATCCACTGTTGCTGATTGTGCAGATGTTTATCTCTCTGTCAGTCTGGCTATGTATACATCTGTCTGCCTGTCTGTTTATCTGTCAACCTGTCTATCTATCTGTCTGCCTGTCTATCGGTCCGTCTGCCTGTCTATCGGTCCGTCTGCCTGTCCGCCTGTCTATCTGTCTGTCCGCCTGTCTATCTGTCTCTCCGCCTGTCTATCTCTCTGTTTGCCTGTCCATCTGTCCGTCTGTTTGTCCGCCTGTCTATCTCTCCATCTGCCTGTCTATATGTCTGTCTGCCTGTCTGCCTGTCCATCTGTCTGTCTGCCTGTCCATCTGTCCGTCTGCCTGTCCATCTGTCCGTCTGCCTGTCTATCTGTCCGTCTGCCTATCCATTGTCTGTCCGTCTCCTGTCCTCTGTCCCTGTCCTGTCCGTCTATCTGTCTTCTGTCCTCCTTGTCCTGTATCTATCTATCTGTCCGCCGCTATCTGTCTGTCTGTCTCTGTGTCTCTATCTCTCTGTCCGCCGTCCTATCTGCCTCCTGTCCACGTCTGCCTGTCTATCTATCTCTCTGTCCGCCTGTCTATCTGTCTGTCCGCCCGTCTATGTCAGTCCTGCTGTCCGCCTCTTTCTTTGTCTACTCCCTTTTCAGTCAGTCAAAGATTCATCACATCTCACAAAGTGCCTTTCATGTCAGTCCGAATTATAAATGTAGAAGGAAAAATGAGCAGGAATATGAAAAAATAAGATAAATTGGGTGAGAAGGCAAAATAAAAGAAAGAAAGAAAGAAAGAAAATGAAAGGGAGAAAACCCCCTATATAATATTAATAATAATACAAACTGATATGAGTAACTAAAAAAATATGGGAGATGCAGGAGAGGGAAAAAGCAAGGAAGAAAAAGAAAATGTATATGCAATGAAAATCTACAATGCTAAAAAGAAAACAACATTCTAATTTTAACTAAACATGTCAATATAAATATAATAACAATTTAGTTTTTCTTTTATATCACATATCACCAAACAATTTCCTGCTCAAAATATCACAAGGAAATCTCTATGAACTAGGCTACCTTCTTACTACTATGGTAGGCTACCTTCTCCAATTACTTATATTATTTGTGTACTTGCATGAATTAGACGAGCAAGAATCTTTAGAACATGGGTAACAAATTATTATGATAAAATTAAAGCAGAGGAAAGATAGACAGCATATATTTTGGACTGGAGATTGCAGCACCATGTTTTTAGTCATCATATTGCTACAGGGAACAAATACTTTCCACTATAAATATCTTCATGATATATTAATAACTTAGCTTATAACCATAAAAATAATTTATGTATTTCATCTAGTAAAAGTTGAATATTTTTTTTACAAAGATCCTCTACAATACACTGTAATTACAGGTACCCTTTATTTTTTTCTAAATCTATATTTTATGTGATACATTGCTACCTGATTTTCTTACCTTCCCTCCTTGTACCAACACTTTGCCATCTACCATGAGTGTCTGCAGCTTTGTTATGGAATTCACAACCACTGGATTATTTGATCCACTACTCTTTCCTGCAACAGACAGAGATATAGAATTAATAAAATGTAAAGTTGTTAAAGTCCTGACAGTGTGATTAATACTAAGAAATACCATAGAAGGTACCTGCTACTTGTTGTGGAGTAGCCTGAAGTAATTTGAAACCGCCAGGGATAGATTAGCCTTCTGTGCTGCTGTGGTGGCCATATTCACCACAGTTGCCGTGTTGGATATCTTTCCTCCTGAGACACCACTAACCTGGAGGAGAGAACAAATGTCTTTAGCATATGTTCATATTTGAAGAGTTGTCTTTAGCATACATTCATATTGAACTAATGTAGTATTAACTACTGGTGAGAGCCGACTAGAGAGACCCCTAGAGACATACAAGAAGGACAGTGAGATAAGGAGGAGAGTAGATGACAGAAAGAGAGCGAGAAGAGACAAAAATGAGAGCGAGAAGACTCGGAGAGAAGATGAGACGATGAGAGAGATGAGAATGATGAAGCATGTGAGAGAGGTGAGTGTGTGGTTCGTTGTGTTGTAGTGTGTGTGGATGATTAATGAGTGTAGTTATGTGTTGTGTATGCTAATGGCTGTGTCAGTGTGAGCTGTATGTGTATGTTTTATGTTATGTTATGTATTGTATTTAAGTGCGTTAGATGTGAATGGCGTATGTGTTGATTATGATAATGTATTGGTATGAGTAAATTATTGTGTTAGTTGAATGTTGTGTTATGTGTTGTATTGTATGTATTTGCGGTTAGTATGTGTTGTATGTATGTGCAATGTATGATGTATGATGTAATGTGGTATTTGTGTGTTGAGTGTTGTTTATTGGTGGTGTGGTGTAAAGTATGTGTGTGTATTGTATGTGTGTGGTGTGTACTGTGTGATGTGGTGTGTGTGTGTGTGTGTGTGTATGGTGGTGTGTTGTTGTGGTGTGTTAATGTGTGTATGTATGTATGTATGTGTGTGTGTATGAATGTGTTGCTGGTTGTGTGTGTATATGTTGTGTGTGTGTGTGTGTGTGTTTGTGTGGTAGATGTGTATATATATGTGTGTGTATATATATATATTAATATTTATATCTGTATCTATAGTCTGTATCGTATCGTATCTATGTATGTGTCTATCTATCTATGTCATGTGTATCTATGTATGCTAGTATATCTATGCTATGTAATGTATATATGTAATATATGTATTATGTGGTCATATATATATATGTATCATGTGTTGTAGATCAGATGTCTAGTGATATTATGTGGTGTGTGATGGTATGTATGTGCGTATAGTGTTAGTGTATGTATGTATGTATAGTGTTAGTGTATGCTATGTATTGTCATTGTGTGTGATAGTGTGATATGTATCCTATGTATGTTGAGTACTGTTGTGTTATGTGTATGTATTTTAGTGTGTGTGTACGTGTGTGATGGCGCTGTAGTTTGTTGTGTGAGTATGTGTGTGTGTGTGTATGTGTATAATATATGTGTTATGTGTGTGTGTGTTGTGAGTGTGTGTGTTGTCTGTGTGTGCTTCTGCTGTGTGAGTTGTTGTGTTGTAGTATTGTATGTATTGTTCAATGTTATGTATTATGTATTGTATGTATGTAATGTCGTTAGGCAATGATGTGATGTGTGTGTGTATGTATGTGTGTGGTGTATGATAAATGAGTGATGTGATGTGTGTATGTGTTGATTGTATGAGATAACAGAGTTATATGTGATTATTTATAATATCACTATTATCCTGGGAATCCAGATGTCAGTTTAACAAGAGGCAGGTGACTGGCCTCCAGAGGGAGCAGTGTGCTGCTAACTGGCTGGTCTGTGGTGCAGCAGAGGCACTGGGTCTAGCTTGGGATACAGAGGGAGCTGGAAGTCTTGCAGCTTCC